CGTAAAATACGTTATACTAAATTGCTCCCTGTACTAGGAAAATGATGAAGTTAGCATTCTAAGGCAGCCCGTTTTCGAAAAGTCCATTAAATGCCATGGATGCTGTCCCACCGCGTAAATTCGGTCTGAATCTCACCAAAGGAGACCTTCCTTTAATATGGACGTATTAGCCTAAACCAATGTCACGGAACATCATGTTCGGGGTTAAAGACAACGGTATTAACAGCCGACATGCGTATTTGATTTCGCTTAATGCGACACATTTAGATAGAACTAATGGTCTGCAATCATCGACCGTGTAATTTGGCAGTAGCTCTGCATCCCCAGAATTTAGCATGGACTGCGTGCTCAGCAGATAGGCTGATGAAATCCTTAGAAAATGAAGATAGCCTCTCCGGAACAGGTTTATTTAACTGCTGACGTTTCAAAAAACTGGGTCGGCTCTTCATTGTCAAAACGTAAACTGCCCTCAATCGATCAGAAATTTAATTTAAAGTGGCAAGTTGTATTGGCCGGCCTCATGCAGATCGATTATTTCCTCTCCTTTCGCTGCGTCGGCCTCTCGGGAAATGGTTGACGGGCGTTTTGCATGTGTGCTTTATGAGTCACCACTCCGTCGAGGGGAACTGATTGGACTTTAGTCGGGCGGTCTGGCGGTTCTTGTTCTTCCTCACCGAGTAAGCTCAGCGTCGGGCTATCTCCGTGCGGCCTTCTTTAGTCCGGTGTGGGTGTTTGGTCCTGAGCTCTACGATTGTGATGACGTAGGACTTTGTTAGCTGCAGGAAATTGCGCTTTTCAAAATAAATCGGAATTTTTAAACAAAGCAACAATGCCCATTTGGACCTTCGTGCAGCTTACAAAGTCCTACGTCATCAAAGTCGTAAACAACAGGACCAAACAACCACACCGGACTTAAGAAGGCCGCGCGGAGATAGCCTGACTCTGAGCTTACTCGGTGAGGAAGAACAAGAACCGCCAGACCGACCGCCCGACTAATGTCCAATCAGCTCCCCTCGACGGAGTGGTGACTCATAAAGCACACAGGCAAAACGCCCGTCAACCATGTCCCGAGAGGCCGAAGCAGAGAAAGGAGAAAGAATCGATCAGCATACGGCCGGCCAACAAAACATGCGAATTTAAGTTAAATTTTTGATCGATTTAGTGCAGCTTACGCTTTGACAATGAAGAGCCGACCCAGCTCCTTGAGACGTTAGCAGGTAAATAAAACTGTTCCGGAGAGACTATTTTCTTCTTCTCATAATCTTCCCGGATCTCTCAACTTTGTCAACCTGAACAGACGAAATGCTACTGCAAATAAGTGACGACAATTGTCTGGGAATTTCAAAGTTTTTTATCAAGCGCGGTGTCATCTTACCTGCCAATTTTGGCAGAAGATACGTTTTCAACTTTTCGTGATTGCCCTGTTTCCATATAAATTGTTTGTAGTGTTTAAACTCTGGAACGCTTTGGCGGGAAGCATTATGTGTTTAGTGCTATTGCGAAGGGCAGGTGGAGCACCGGTTATCGTTATGAACTACCTAATATTTTTGCATTGAACTCTAATTCCTAGTTTGCTCATATTATGTTGTTCGCGTCATGGTGGCACACAAGCGAAACAAAGCAGTGACGCTCATCGCCAGTAGCTATGGACAATAATTTACGATGATTTGTTTATTTGGCTGCAAATCGACTTTCATGTATTTAACAGTCGTAAGCAAAAATATTTAAACATCTGCTCAACCGAAAACGTGTTCGCTATGTGGCCTGTTGACCATCGCACGTGCCCGGAAAGGAAAACTCTCG